CTTTCACCCTGCAACGCTTGAAAGTAACGCTTAGACCTATCGTTGCAGACCAGTAATACATTTCAATAGACCCAAATAGTAAAAGTTGTATGTCCACACTTCAGAAATTCAGGTAAAATACACATAACTCTATGAGGACTGTACAAGACGTACATCAAATTAAAGTTTATTTCATCATCTTTCATTTTCTGTTCAATTTTCTGGGGTTCAATCATCTAGGTGATCAAAGATGATCATCCCTTAAAGCAGGCCTGAAGCCAATCGCCATTTTGAAAATGGACGCCTACGCTCCACTGCAAAATAGAGGCATTTTAGGGCCGAATCATCATCCACATTTCACACGAATACGAGCTCATGGTCCTCTGCACGGCTTTAAACCTTCTTTTTTAAAAAACATCAAGTTCACGGCCTTCAAAATGCTCTAATTCTGAAGAATTTGAGGGCATGCAGTTCGTGATTTTGCCGGCGGAGGCAATTTCGGACTGATTTGCTGGCCTGCACCCATGTAGTGATCAAACAGAAATGGTGTAAAGACATAATTTAAAAAACACATTACGCAAAAGGTATTGAGATTATCTGAATGTTCAATAACACAACATAGGACAGGATGTTTCAGATGTCACGATTTCCTTTAAATGTTTTTCCGTGGCCAACTTCCGCATAACCTTTTATCCTGTATTAGCTAGAGTGATATCCGGGGAGAAAAAAGGTCAGCGCATCGCATCGGGATTTTAGGTTTGACAATAAACAGGGAAAACTAGCGAGAAAATAAAGGAGGTGATTGATCATAGTGATAAAATGGGCGGTCGAGCTTTCGCAAGATTTCTTTCGTTAAACACAAAAAGGTTTTAATTTATCATCTGAAAAAAAAAATGTGAAAGTGCATGAACTTCAATAACAATAAGAACATTGATGTAATACACTCTTGAAAAAGCTACAGCCTTGTTTGACTGGAAAATCGGCGAATCTGAATGGCAATAAAAACTATAAAACTTCCAGGAATTTATAGTTTTTTTTTTCACTATTCAGTATTTAGGGCAATTAAAATGCGTCGAGGGTGAACTATGTAAGTAGGAGCTGAAATATTGTCAGACAGGAATCCCGAACAAATAAAAAAATCGTGACTATTTGCTCTTAGCTATATTTTTGCCTGATTTTGGCCTCACAAAATTTTGGTCTGAATCCGCATCAACTGTTCAGACTAAGAGCTAATTCAGTGGTATTCTATGCATCATAATACCTGGTTATGATTCAAGCACAAATATCACATAATAAGTTATCGAATAACCGTATGGGAATGGGATCATCATGGTCGGAAATATTTACAGCGCACTGTTTTGGCTATAAGCATATTTGTGTCAATATCATGTATCAAATAGAACAATCCCAAATTTGGAAGAATTATCGTAAAATATTATTTCAAACACTCACCGTGCAATTCTTGTTCGATCTTGCAAACAGTTCTCTCGGGTTGTCGTCTGGACGTGGACATGAGCTGCGGTCGTTGTGAGGAGTGAGCCGGCAGCTTGTGACTTAAATATTGACGTCGATTTCCCGAGCAGTGACTGAGGAACTTGCGAGCCCGGTTTGTGATTGGCCCCTTGCGCGCTGTCAATCATATATCAACGACTCGCTTCATATTAATGAGACGGAAATTATAATATTGCATTGTCACGTTAAACCCGAAGTTTGTATCACTGACACTGATATAGCCGCATCTGATTGGTGGAATGAGCGTAGGGATGTCGGTGACACGTTCAAACACGTGGATTGTGATTGGAACCTGTCAATCACAGACCACTCACTTGTGGTCACCGACTTGTTGGGTGACTAACTCCGATTGGTGGATAGAATAATGACGTTCACCGGCCAAACTTGATTCAATCAGTGTTTGTTTTGCAGTTCGTGTCATTTAATGGAACCACGCATTTGGTGGCTAGTAAGGTGTAGTCAGGTCATGCAGTTTACGTTAGTAATAGAAAAACGAAGGTGAAATGAATTTAGCTTGAAAAAAAAAGCACTAAGAACGTAAATTTAGTGTGTGTGCATAATATTTGGTCCATGTACAGTTGCCGCCCTCGAACGGTGAAAATATACTTATTTTGCGCATCCCAGCCGTTCCCAAAGGCAACTTTATTATAATCATTGATCTACCCCCATCCACACGCGCTCTCGGACAGACCACCTTCTCGGCATGCAATCGACTTTGCAACTGCAAAACCCCCTCTCTGCTTATTGAACACAACCTGTATACTAAAACCAAACACAGAAATATGCCAACCCCAATCTTGACCATTGCCCAACCAACACCCAATCCCAAACTCACCAAACTGTTTGGATCCAACAGTATACAACAAACGTCTTTCCTCAACAAAATCCCAACCTTCAATAGCCGAAGCAAAAAGTGGCGTAGCGCGGTCATATTTATTGAGTCGGGGGCTAAAAAATTCGAACATCCGTGGTGAAATGTAGACACATTTTTTCACCGGACATTTAGCCTCTGTAAAATCAAAAAGCAGGGGGGTGGTGGTAGTTAGGCTGGTACCATCTGTCGATGGGGGCGCTGTTTACAACCGACAATTATGAACACTATAACCGACACTAAAATGGTGCTTTTCAGGGCGATACAGGCGTGTTATTAAAAAAAAAGAGGCATCCGAAACGGTACTCACGCAAAAAATTGGGTGGTAAGTGGTGGTGGAATGAGGGCATTTGAATGGAAAAGGGCACTCTTCACAAAATATTTGGGGCGGGAGTAAATCATCCCCCCCCCACCGCTGCCTACGCCTATGCATCCCTTTAGCTCCTGACCACCCCGGGCAGCCTACGGTGGATCCCATATACCCCACATTTACGGTAAGGCGGCTTCAAGATGGGGTGTGGGGGGGGGGGGGCGTTTATTTAATGCCAGGGTGCTGTTGTTCTCCTTTCCATTAATATTTCCATCAAGAGGAAGAGGATGAGTAAGTCGATTTTACAACAGTTGTGTCGTCTATTGTAGCTCTTGTAAAATAATCGATATTTTTCCAATTGAGGCGGCCGCTTTCATTTGCTTAAACGATGTATCTAATCCGCCCTGCTGGTAGACAGCGGCGTAGCCACTGGGGTGGAGTGGGGGAGGGACGGGGTGTAGGGGGCTTGGACTTACACGCACCAGTAGAAAATAATGTCCCGCAGTCGCCCCCGGAAATAATTAATTCCCATAAATGACCATTCGGTTATAAGGTATAACAGAAATTGCCCCCCCCCCTTCCCTCCCACTGGAATAACATCTTGTAACTCCACCAATCCCCCATGGTGGGAAGTCTGGCTTCACTGCTGCTGGAAGACCGGTTCCACTTTCCTATTATATTATCAAGTCTAAATACTGAGGTAGGGAACCATGCTGTGTACACCGCAAGAAACGAATAAATGTCAGGTCACAAATTAAGTAAATAAAAACTAGAAATGTCAGCAGTACCGGGTTATGAAGCCTATTTTACAAACAAAAGACTAAACGTGGGCCGATTGTTTTGGTCGGCGTCTCATTCAAAAGTGAATAACCTTTGTAGCTCTAGAAATAAAAAAAACTATTCCTCGGGGCAAAACTCGAGAAAAAAAAGACGTGGCTGTAATAAACTAATATATGTACTAGGTTAACGTGTTTTCGGTTGGTTTCCTAGGTCGATTTTATTTTTTTTTTAAATACCCATTGCTTGCTAAAGTGAGAAGGGGCTGTTTTGTTGTCTTATAAAATCATGACAACCAACCACGCCTCTTTTTTTCCTTTGTAGTCGTTGTATTAGGGTTTTATTTTTTTTTTAATGACAGGGCACGTTTCGACAAAATATCCTGATTATCAATATTAATATTGAGCGTTTTATTCGTTACCAATAAAGCAAAAAAATGGGAAAAGGCATGAATAATTAGCTGTATAACAACTTGCCATTTCAAGCTTTCAAAAATGATGGGATGGCCTAAATGTTTGCCAATCCATCACGATTGTTTTCTCTGCACGTTGCCATCCTTTAATTCAATGAGGAGCTAAGTTGAAAACTTACATCAAAAATTGCTAAGGCAAAGTAACAAAAACTAGTTTCTCGTCCCCGCCCACTTCCTATTTGGAGGCTGCCTGGGTTGTTTTATTATTGTTTAAATATTTTTTTTTTTAAAATGCAGTAAAAAAACACCGAACAAGTACACGGTTAAAGCAAATGCGTCTAAAACTGGTCATTGTAGACAATGCAACTCTAAATGACACTGTTAATGTGTTAAGTTCTCTTGTCCAACTTGTCTTCCATTTTAAAAGTGTCTTTGAACAGTGCGAACACCAACAGTTGCAGGAAATTTCAAAATGGCGGCAATCTTGAAAAAAATAAATAATAAAAAGCCCCTCTTCCTCTTTTTTTTCTCAAAAACCCGGAAGAGAAACTTTTTTTTTTATTCGGCTTATATATTCGAAAACGATGTAGCTCCATCGATCAATATACCAAAGCTACGGTTGTACGGCGTGTGTCAAAAAAAAAAAGCGGTACCCAAGCCCCAAAAATTATAATTCATATTTTTTTTTTTAAATATGTGGCACCAAACATAATAATGACCGGAAAGCCAATTTCATAAGCTCCTTTTTGATGAAAAACATACTAAAATTGCTCAATCTGTTCAAACAATACTACCATTTAAACACAATGGAAATGACTCTAAAACCTCTTCCGTCCAAACATGATATTTCAAGAATCGTCGTCACGATAATTGTTTTCAAACATCACCCGGAATAAAACCTCAGTTTCTAAGTTAAAAATATTCAACAAAGTCCTCTTGTCATTTTCTTTGTTGTTCCGAACAGTCAGAATACACAATAAACTGCTTGTTTTTGGACGAAATTGCTTTTACATGATGATATTCCTTGAGTGGATTGAACAATTTCAGTAATGTTTTCATCTAAAAATAGCTTATGAAATTGGCTTTCAAATCATTATTATGTTTGGTACTACAACATTTTGTAGAAATTAAATATATTTTCGGGGTTTTGGGTTCCGCTTTTTTTGTGTGGATTCACCCTGTATTAAAACAAACAATTACAAGACACACAATGCTACATTCTGTGCCATTTTAGGTTCAGCATTGTTCATCTAAATATGTAAAATACTTTCAGAAGCCACACTTTGATATTGTTGCAGTTTTTTAAATGCTGCTCATGTCAAATTAATAAAGAGGTCTTTAAAAAAATCACAGCAAAAATGCTTAAATGCAGTGCAAATTTCAGCTATTTATAAAGCTGTTATTCTGTGAACATTGCAAACACGAAAACATAAAGGAATTGCTGTGTCTCATACGTCTTCGCATCCTCCTTTTTTAACAACTTTTCAAACATCTGTAAAAAAATCTTTAAAAAAAATTGTAAAATTTGGCTGCACAAACATCCAAAAAGCAGAGTCGAAAATGGCCAAATATCTCTACAAAGTGAAATCAAATATTGATCCACTCCAAAAAAACCTATTAATATAGCAAACAAAAAACAGTTCAAACTCAAAACTTGTTGAGTTTGAACTTAACTCTAACTCTAACTTAAACAAGTTCTTTCAAACAATTTTTCAGAAATAAAGAATTTTATATCACATAGGGGTGCACTTCGATACAGGCCGGACGTGGTTCATAATAATAAGAAAAAGATACGTAACGTCACCCATTTATCCATTTAAAAAAAAATACATTCGATTGTATGGTGCAATTGAAATTCATACATTTTTCCAGCATGAAACAAAATCTTTCCGAGGATTAATGATATCGGGGCGAGTCTCGATCCACCTATGAATAACCCAACCGTTGCAGAAATATGTAGGTTTTACAATCGTCATTACTTATTATGCATGTTCACATAACAAAAGTAAACAAATAACATGTTTTCTCAAATATTTTATTTGTTCACATTGTTATTAAAGCTTTTCTAATAATCTTTCATTCGACAGTGGATACAAGTATAATTGTTGTCAACATACTTGTTTGATATCTCTCAAAACTTTTCTACGAAAAGCTAATTATAACAAACACTCAAAATTGTAAATTTATTGCCTATACGGAACTGTGCGGTGCAAATGTAAACAAATACATTATTTATTCAACCATGCATCTAAATTCCCGATTAGATTGTAGGAACAGATTATGTCTTATTTATTGGTTCATATGATTACCAGCTTAAGAAATGACATCATATTTAGAATGCTGCTGTCCGACTGGTTATCCCAAGAAGGAGAGATCGTTAAGCGGATGTGCATCCATACTTCAGTAACTACATTGGCTCCCGGTTATAATGCGGTAAGGGTTGAATTCAAGATCCTTGGTTAGTTTTCAAACCGTCGAGTTGAGATCAGTTCATGAGTTTAACATTTGCACTAAAAGCTGCGACGGGGTTAAGTTCAGCCACCCTAAAGTTTGTCCAAAGCTTACCAAGGCATAAAGGGATTGTGCTTTTACAATGTATACATCTAGGGAACAGATTTCAGCTTTATTGAGATATATTTTTGAATTTGGAATTTTTCAATCGCGGCTTAAAATATTATTTTCTAAAAATGAGAGTTTTATTTTTATCTTATTTTTAATGATTTCAAAAAAGTAGTGTTGATGTTATGTAAACTGTTTTGATATATCAATGCTAAACATGTATTTAAAATTAATCATTTTTATCATACCTGTTAATGGTACCCATAGGATACATTTGGTTTATTATTATTAAATTGAACATTATTTCTGTTAAATCATTGGTTAATATTTTGGCAAAATAAAAAAACCGAACATTTTGTTGGAGGGGGAGGGGGGGGGGGCAGCACTGCTCCTATATTTACGTGAGGTGATTATTTCTAATTAATCAATTGACTCCGGGTAAAGGAGGAAGCCGCTGAATGAGGTGTAGTAACCACCATACACCCTACCGTGCATGGTAACATACACCGTATCTCCACGCTGCAGAACCAGCACCGCGCTTCCAGACAACTGACCACGTTGATTTGCTTCACCATAGGTGGTAATCACCTTGTGGTTGTTTTTAACAAGATGAATGGTAAGGCTACCGCTGTTGCTATGCTTAAGAACAGAAAATGTAAATACGTAGGTGCCCGGCACACTACAGGTGAACGTACCGCTCTCGAGATCGAAACTGGTACCCGGCAGAAGCGTCTCGGTCTGCTGGAAGGGCAAATGGGTGTCGTGACTCGTAGAGGTATCCGAGCTGCTCGTCCTCACCACGGTGAATGCTACCCGCTGGTTTGAATCGTCTGGTGTCTCCCCTGGCTCACCCTTCTGACCTTTGACACCAGCCTCTCCGGCTGCTCCAACAAGACCCGGTGGGCCTCTCGGACCTATCTTGCCGGGCAGACCAATGCCATCATCACCTTTAGACCCAGTGTTCCCAGGTGCTCCCCGATCACCCATAGGTCCAACCCGTCCAATCTCGCCTTTTTGACCTAGCTGACCTTTGTCGCCCTTTGACCCCGGCTGACCGTACGGTCCCATCTGTCCCACCGGTCCAGGCAGACCTGGTATGCCGGGTATTGCAGCAGGTCCCTGGCAGCACTGCTGACACACCTGAGACGCAGGCCCATCCCCGTCCGAGGGAACTGGCCCAGTAACGGAAGCTCGGAGCTTGACAGAATTACCCAGAAGGAGGGCGATTGACAGAATGGTGGCCACGCAGATCTTCATCTGTAAAAAAAAACAAAAAAGGACCTATATATAAAACTGAAAACAAGATCGATAATAACTAAATAAATAATGATGTGACATAAACTGAAGAATTTGTCTTAAAGACATGTATGTCTTCATAATGTTTCTGAGGAATCGTTATTCAGAGAATGTGCTCGGAGTGATATGGCAGTTTCATTTTCATAACATATAAGGAAAAGGTGGGTTCTTTTTAAGATGATGGACAATCCACATTATTGGGCTGGTTATTACTTTTGCTCGCCGATATAAGTCAGGAAAAGAGACCGAATTACATCAGGTTTTTTTTGTGGGGACGGCCCGCCCTTTTTACACTTGATTAAGGAATTAAATAATTTTATCATCGATTTAATGCAATTGTGAGGATTTATTTTCATTTTGATAAATCATCATTCGAAAACGGGAACAATTATTCACTAAGTAATAACGGTCAAAATGATTGTTTGACCGGTATTTTTCTGGCCGAAAACATCCAGAAAAAAACAACAACCTGTTTTAATGTCGCTTTGTGAAGTTTCTTGGGAAACTGAATGCTCCATGAAATCAGCATTCAGTTTATTGAATTGCATTCAGTAAAACCTTCATTCAAATTCATTTTACCAAAAATGGTGTGTATTTTTTAGGCACTTGTAAGTCATTGAAATGATTTTGAAAGCATAATTATGTGAGTTTTTAAAACAGCAAATAATTCATTCAAATAGCTTCGTTCCCGTCTAATTTAACACCTGGATTATTCAATATTTGAACACTTTCTTTCAAAGTCGTCGCAACTTTTTCAAATCCAGTTGAATTTAGCGAATGGTCAAAATATTTAATGGTATCTTCAGCAATTTACGTTATTTTTGCATTGAATTTATTGTGCTTTTGATTTCAGTCCTGCTCGGGAATTCACATTCATGCATACGTTTAAAAAGTAACACATGTTCAATAAAATTCGGCAGTTTAGCAAGATCAGTGGCAGATCCAGGGGTGTGGAGGCAGTGACCTAAATGTTATGAAATAAGGCCAAATTTCACTTGAGAGAGCCCTTACACCCACACCCTTTCCCCGGCACAACCTGCACCGCCGGCAGTAACTCTCTGGATCCACCCTTGAAGGTACTGTCTGACAATTATAGAGTATAAAATGACTTAATTTTTAATAATTTTGTATAAAGGAATGAACACATATTTCAAGGAAGAAATCTTCAACATATAAAAAGAATGCTGGCGGAAAATAATACCAATTGATAAAAATGAGTTATTGAGTTATTTTCTGCATAAATATGGGGAAACGATCTCATACCAGTGAAGTATAGAGGCGGAAATATTACAGGTGGACCACCGCAGTCGTTACAAAAAGATTTTTTTCCGGGCCATCAGCGCACCGGTTTGGCTATTAGCTTCAGCCACCATCTGTTTGTCAACTATGAATGTGTCTCGGAAAATCTTTAGAGTTCAAAAAAAAATCAAAATCTGTACCAATTGCACAACTTAAAACACTGAAAATATTGCTTTTTCAAAATGTGTATATATTTAACAGAATCTAAGTGACATTCTGAGTGAAACCCTACATGCAAACATGGCTGAATTCATCGGAAAGTTGGTGCTTCAAACTTTGGAGTCGGACAGCAGAGCAGACAGCCAGAATAATTTGTACAAACATCAAGTGTTAACATGATTTCTAAAAATGAATCCAGGCAGATAAAGCAATTTGAACTTGAATAAAACTGTGTGTGTAATAATGATCCGGTCCGTTTGTATTTGCGCCCTCTAGTCTATTCTGACCAGTGACACTTTTATCGTGCAATGTTTGAAAGTGAAACGTTTAGGCCTATATAGTGATCAAACCGGAATGGAGCACTGTGACCTAGTGAAATGACACAGTTTGAAAACAAAGCGCAAAAGGTATTGAAATTATTCCAATTTTAAATAACACAACATAGGACAGGATGTTTGAGATGTCCCGATTTCCTTTATACGTTCTTCCGTGGCCAACTTCCGCATAACCTTTTATCCCGAATCAGTCAGAGTGATTGCCGGAAAAAAAGGTGAGCGCATCGCATCGGGATTATATGTTTGATACAATAAACAGGAAAACTAGCAAAATAATAAAGGGGCTGAATGGTCATACTGATTTTAGGGGTCAAGTGTCGAACTTTCAAGATTTCTTTCTTTTAACAAAAAAAAAAGGTTTTAATTTATCATCTGAAATATTGTGCAAGTGCGTGAACCTCAATAACAATATGGAACGTCATGTAATACGCTCTTGAAAACCTTCAGCCAGGTATGACTGGAAAACTGGCGAACCTAAATGGCAATAAAAACTATAAAACTTCCATGCATTTATAGTGTGCTATCGGTAGTGACAAGAATTCAAGTAAGTTTCTAAGCGCTAGAGAAATTAGTCAGAATTTTGGACAATTGTTTGTTGAGAGTGCACCATGGAAGTAGCAGCGATAATATCGTCAGACAGGAATTCCTTATTCCGAACAAATAAAATAAAAACCCTGATTAGTTTGCTCTTAGCTTTTATTGCCTGAAACTTTGGCCTCACAAAATGTTGGTATGAATTTGCAGCAACTGTTCAGACTAAGAGCTAATTCAGCTATATTAGGCCCCCCCCCCCCAAAAAGTCTCCGATTTCTGGTACGCGCTCGCGTCGCTGTAGCCATGCGCGTCGGCAAAATGAAAAAGATTTTTTTTTCAATGAAAGATGATCTCTCAAAACCGCCAAACTCACTGGTTTGACTGGAATCCTGCTGCTGCACAATTTTAACGTGTTTTTAGATGGTTTTATGATCGAGAATAAGCTTTATGTGGCATCTCTACCATAATATTTGCACTAAGTTTAGGGCAACATTTGCAGTAATCAGCCGACATTTGAAGCAAAAAAAAAACAGGTAAAAAAAATAATAAACGCGTTGCAGCACAACTTTTTGGGCAAGCTCCATACCAGAAACTGGATACTTTTTTTGGCCTTATATACATTATAATACATTACTCGGACACTCTCGATAGAAGTGGCATTTAATTGAATGTACACGAACCATCGGTACCGATGGTTCGTGTACAAACCAGAATGAGCCAATAAGACAACAGCACCGATGGTTTGTGCACTGACAGATACAACCAATGAGAGAGCATACAATCACTGGTGGTCATCGGCCCAGTGACCTTGCCTAGCTCAGCTATCAGTGAGATTTACGTAACGTTGCGTAACAAAGTGTGTGTGGGGAAACTGTGGTCAGGGCCCTGGCCCTGCACAAGGCCATGCATGTGCATGCTATCTTAATATGTTAATGTAACGTACACTTTGTACAGTTGAAACCTTATAAATCTTCGCTTCTATTTCTGGACAAAGGTTTGCTGCTTGCACTTTAATATATTGGTTGGACATGGTTGTACCATAGAGCTAGGACCGGTCCTAGCTCTATGGTTGTACCATGGTTGTACGGAAACTTGGAGAACGAAAATCTAAACAGGAATATGCTGAAATGTAGCGCTCACTGAGAAAGAGAACTGGAGTTCACATGTACATGTCAACCGTGCAGACAGGTTCTGTGAGAGAATGTTCAACCGACGGCGAGATTACCAACACAAGCTAAAGGATTTAATGTCTTCATTATTCCACCGTGATTGACATTACATGTATCAAATCAGCTCTAATGTCTAAACAATTACAGCCAACTGAACCATGTGTGGCAAAGGGGTTACTAGGACCTACATACACAATACAGTATTGAGTCTTTGAAATTTCATGGTTAGCTTTTTTGACTTGGGGGGTTGTTTAGTGCCGTGATAGTCCGAAAATTTGGGACTCTCAATACTGTGTATGAGAGCCCCAAAACGGGAACTAGCGGGAACTAGTCTCAATTTACTACACATTTCTCCATAGTCAAGCCACCAGACTATTGACTTTGAATGAAATGAGGTCAGTCTTTTCAAATAGTTGGACCATGGTTGAACATGTACCAGTCTAGTATTTAGCCCCATTTTGAAATCACTTGACTTCCCTCTCATGTGCAAAATATTAAAGAAAAGTCTCCTTTAAAAATTGAATTGAGTCTGCAAACTTGGTTGGTGAAATACTGAGGACATTTTCTTTGCCACAGTGGAATTTTGGGAGAAATTTGCTGGCTAAACTGTGAGTAAAGTGGGCCTGATTTAGTTTTGCACGTTTCAGAGCACTCCAGAGCCCTGATTGGTGCTGTGACTGACATTAAAAAAAGCGATGCAACCCAAAAATATCAAACATGTTTTTAAAATTTCTCTTCAGTGCTGCAGATCAAAATCCATTAGAACATTAGAGCTAGTAGGGTTACTAACGCATGTAGTAAGATGGGGGGGGGGAGGGGGAATCATGAATTTTTGAATGAATATGCCTGTTAATATAAAACAAATTAACACCCAATTAAAATAGCCTCGTCTGTCAACAATAGAAGTTGATATACCTAGACCCCGTGCTAAGAAAACAATGAAGGGCAGATTTTTATTGCTATCCTGAATGCTTTTATGGAAAAAAGCATCGTTTTTTTGTGACTGACATTACACTAAGCCTAAGACCGTCACTGACATTACATTTTTACTAATTTTGAATATCAATTCAGCTCTTATGTGTAAACAATTAAAGCCAACTGAACCATTGTTTGGCATGGGAGTTACTGGGACCTGAATACACAATACGGTATTGAAAATTGAAAATTTCATGTTCAGTTTTTCCAATTAGAGTGGTAGTTTACTGTCGTGACTGACATTACATAAAGCGATGCAACCAAAAAATGTCAAACATGTTTTTCAAATTTCTTTTCAAGTTAAAATGTCTACGTGTTTAAATCCATACGAGCATTTTAGCTTATAGGGTAACCAACACATGTAGTAAATGAGCAAAACTTTCATGATTTCTTTTAATATGCAAATAAACCTCTGTGACTGACATTATCGTGAATGACATTACGCATTAGATTCATTATACCTGTTAACAACAAATTAACACTAAAACAATACAGAGAAGAGAAGAGTAAAATTACTCTTATGCTATATTTTAAGGAATAATTGTAACTGTACGATGATTAAAGGTTGGAACATGGAGTGTACAAAATACACTAAATACATACAAGCGCATTACGCATGACTGACACTTTTATTGAATCGACCAAATCTTTAAATAACAATTATTTGCCCACTTGGTAACATTGTTGCCGGGTTATTTTGACCACCTCACAGCCGGGGCGGATTCCCCTTTCTTCTCTTGGCACTAACATGCTGCAAATTCACGCCCCTCTCCCCCCCCCCCCCCCCCCCAGTGACGAAGAAAATACATAGAGCAAATCTTCATAAATATACCCAAGAAATTTCATGATTATAGGGCAAAGGGTTCTGGAATTATGGCTAATTAATTATTCATATGTACGAATGATTATTCTTCTCTTGGCACTAACATGCTGCAAATTCACGCCCGCACCCCTATTTTGCCTTCCCGCACCCCTTTCTTCTATTGGCACTAACATGCTGCAAATTCACGCCCCCTCCCCCGAGTGACGAAGAAAATGCATAGAGCAACTCTTCATAAATATACCCAAGAAATTTCATGATTATAGGGCAAAGGGTTCTGGAATTATGGCTAATTAATAATTCATATGTACGAATGATTATTCTTCTCTTGGCACTAACATGCTGCAAATTCACGCCCGCACCCCTATTTTGCCTTCCCGCACCCCTTTCTTCTCTTGGCACTAACATGCTGCAAATTCACGCCCCCTCCCCCGAGTGACGAAGAAAATGCATAGAGCAACTCTTCATAAATATACCCAAGAAATTTCATGATTATAGGGCAAAGGGTTCTGGAATTATGGCTAATTAATTATTCATATGTACGAATGATTATTCTTCTCTTGGCACTAACATGCTGCAAATTCACGCCGGCACCCCTATTTTGCCTTTCCGCACCCCTTTCTTCTCTTGGCACTAACATGCTGCAAATTCACGCCCCCTCCCCCGAGTGACGAAGAAAATGCATAGAGCAACTCTTCATAAATATACCCAAGAAATTTCATGATTATAGAGCAAAGGGTTCTGGAATTATGGCTAATTAATTATTTATATGTACGAATGATTATTCTTCTCTTGGCACTAAACATGCTGCAAATTCACGCCCGCACCCCTATTTTGCCTTCCCGCACCCCTTTCTTCTCTTGACCTAACATGCTGCAAATTCACGCCCCCTCCCCCGAGTGACGAAGAAAATGCATAGAGCAACTCTTCATAAATATACCCAAGAAATTTCATGATTATAGGGCAAAGGGTTCTGGAATTATGGCTAATTAATTATTCATATGTACGAATGATTATTCTTCTCTTGGCACTAACATGCTGCAAATTCACGCCCACACCCCTTTTTTGCCTTCCCGCACCCCTTTCTTCTCTTGGCACTAACATGCTGCAAATTCACGCCCCCTCCCCCGAGTGACGAAGAAGATGCATAGAGCAACTCTTCATAAATATACCCAATAAATTTCATGATTATAGGACAAAGGGTTCTGGAATTATGGCTAATTAATTATTCATATGTACGAATGGTTATTCTTCTCTTGGCACTAACATGCTGCAAATTCACGCCCACACCCCTATTTTGCCTTCCCGCACCCCTTTCTTCTCTTGGCACTAACATGCTGCAAATTCACGCCCCCTCCCCCGAGTGACGAAGAAGATGCATAGAGCAACTCTTCATAAATATACCCAATAAATTTCATGATTATAGGACAAAGGGTTCTGGAATTATGGCTAATTAATTATTCATATGTACGAATGGTTATTCTGGTTTGTGTATGCTGCGTATATGGGAAAATTTGCATGGCACCGGAAATTTTTTCGCTGCGCAACAACCCCTGGTCTGATTTTTATATTTTTTTGTTGTCAAAAGATGCGCAAGGCTCGAGGCTAAAAAGTCATAACAGCTCAGGTTGCGAAATTTTTTTTTAAAGGTTATCGCGGAAAAAGTCGAAGGGTTGCGAATTCCGCCCCCGGCTCTTTTAGGGTAAAAAAAACCCACATTTTTGATTTCTCCTTCGTTTACATCAAAAGAAAAAAACTTCGCTGGGTTAGGTTTATCCGTCGCCAAAATGAGGGGGACGTGAGGGAACACGTATCTACCCCGCCCCGGAAATCAGTATCAACATTTCTAAAATTATATCATGAAAGTGTGCTCCGTGAAATATGGTGGCGCAAAGGAACTGCTTTTGGTGGAGGGGGGGGGGGGCATGTACAGCTTACATGTTTAATTGTTTGCAATTGCTTTTTTCATTAAATGTATGTATTAATTCATGTTATAGGGGATTCCTACTCGACAAGCTCTGCTTTTTGGAAATACCCTTCCTTCATCTCTAATTTAAAAATAATGCGCTCAAAGTCTATAAATATATTTCTGAAAACCAGTACCCTATCAATTCCTTAATATATTACATTGTTGTTTTTCTAACTTGGCACACTTCGACGTTTACCTTGACTTTCCTCATGTAGTGTTGCCAAACTTATTTGTTGATAAACTTCAAATTCAGTCCGTGAAATACTGGTACTTACACCTTATTACTGCGGCGGTTTATACCTCTGTAAACTATTTCGGTGTCATGAGATTATATTCCGAAATTCAAAAACGGTGGCATCCGGAAATTGGGCACACAAAAGGCTGAATGTTCCCTAACGTGGCGCACTTGAATAAATATCGGAAAATTCCATTGAAGAATTCTGTAAAGTTGATAAAATCTGATAAACCATTATTATATACCCAACTAGAAGTTTGTCAGAAAATTATTTCCTCATTTTGGGGGGATATTTTCAAAGGGTTTACCCATGCACTTTGCAATAAAATAGGAAAATCATGTCGAAATAATGTTTTGTTGTAACTTTGTAACAGGAATCGGATTAACTCGTGATATAGGAACGGGAGTGTTTAGAACTCGATGAAATTATACCGGTTTTTGTGAAAGTTCAGTACAAAACTGTTGCTCTAGATAGCGCGACAGACGAACAAGCAAAGTACACCACGTCAGTGGGGGCGCCATGCTATGTTACATCATACATCAACAAATATCTATTTATGCCTTGAATATGGGATTTAATGGTAATAACACCAGTCCAGTTAAAATGCATAGAACAACAATTGATTGTTTGTTGGTTTATAAAACAGGTTTGACAAAAATTAATGATCAGTAATAACAGATTAATTAAAATAATCACGGCCGGACCATTTGGAATAACCATAGAGCAAGGAATATGAAAACATTAAATCTTTTACAGTTTTAGCTTGTGTAAGCATGGAGGTGTTCCTTCCTCCATGGTGTAAGTAATCTCGCCGTCGGTTGAATATTCTCTCCCAGAACTTGTCTGCACGGTTGACATGCATGTATTACAACTCCAGTTCTCAGTGGGCGCTACATTTCAGCATATTCTCGTTTAGATTATCGTTTTCCAAGTTGTATTTTTCTATTCCTTCCTCCATGGTACAACTATAGGTCCTTGCTATACAACAATGTCCAAGTAATATATTATAGTGCATGCAGCAAACCTTAATGTCTGGAAATAGAAGCAATTAATATAAGGTTTCAACTGTACAAAGTGTACGTTACATTAACATATTAAGATAGCATGCACATGCATGGCCTTGTGCAGGGCCATAGGCCCTGACCACAGTTTCCCCACACACACTTTGTTACGCAACGTTACGTAAATCTCACTGATAGCTGAGCTAGGCAAGGTCACTGGGCCGATGACCACCAGTGATTGTATGCTCTCTCATTGGTTGTATCTGTCAGTGCACAAACCATCGGCGCTGTTGTCTTATTGGCTCATTCTGGTTTGTACACGAACCATCGGTACCGATGGTTCGTGTACATTCAATTAAATGTCACTTCTATCGAGAGTGTCCGAGTAATGATCTGGTGATTATTCAAGCACTTATCGATAAGTTATCGAGTTAACGTATGAAAACGGGATCATCATGGTCGGAAATATTTACAGCGCACTGTTTTGGCTATGAGCAAATTTTTGTAAATATCATAAATCAAAAAGATCAATCCCAAAGTTGGAGGAATTAACGTAAAAGATTGTTTCAAACACTCACCGTGTAATTCTTGTTCGATCTTGCAAACAGTTCTCTCGGGTTGTTGTCTGGACGTGGACATGAGCTGCGGTCGTTGTGAGGAGTGAGCCGGCAGCTTGTGACTTAAATATTGACCTCGATTTTTCGAGCAGTGACTGAGGAACTTGCATGCCAGGTTTGTGATTGGCCCCTGCGCGCTGTCAATCACACATCACCGACTCGCTCCATATTTATGAGATGGAAATGATGTTAATGTTACATTGCCACACGTTAAACCCGAAGCTTGTATCACCGACACTCAAATAGACGCCTCTAATTGGTGGAATGATCGTATGGATGTCGGTGAACACGAGGATTGTGATTGGCACCTGTCAATCACAGACCACTCACTTGTGGTCACCGACATGTTGGGTGACTAACTTTGATTGGTGGATAGAATAATGATGGTCACCGGCCATACGTGATACAAGCAGTGTTTGTTTTGCGCTTCGTGTTATTTAAAGGAGCCACGCATTTGGTGGCTAGTAATTTGTCATTAGGTTATGCAGTCTACATTTTTGATAGAAACACGAAGGTGGAATGAGTTTAGCTTGAAAACAAAAAGTACTAAGAACTTGAATATAATGTGTGCATAATATCCGGTCCATGTACAGTTGCCGCTCTCTAACGGTGATAGTAAACTTATTTTTTCGAAACCCCAGCCGTTCCCAAAGGCAACTTAATTCGGGTGATTCACAATGCAGTGCGCCACCAAGAGTTTGTTATGGAGAGTCCATTTTTCAAGTTTACAGTCGACAAAACATTGCCCATTTGAATGAGTGTCAGTAGACAAGTTGATCAAATATGTTATGGACTGAAGCATATAGCGTTTTGCCGCCTTACGAAAAACACCATATTGATAAGAAGAAAAGAAAAGGGCAAACAGATCCTCGAATCACACGCTTACGAAACTACTGACCGGAAAAACTAACGATTTCAAATGTCCCGCGCTGCGAATTTGTCGACCATCTCCCACAATGCACTGGGGAAAATGAACTCTCCGTGTTTTTGCTCTTGGTGGCGCACTGCATTGTGAATCGCCCGAATTGTAACCATTCATCTATCCCCGACCATGGTCAAACGCTCGCTCAGCCAGGCCATCTTTTTGGCACACAATCGAACTTGTACCCGCAGACCCCCCCTCTCGTTAATTGAGGCCCGCCCACCCCTGCTTATTGAGCCCAACCTACATGTATACCAAAACCAAAGACAGAAATATGCCAACCCAATCTTGACCCTCGTCCAACCCAACCCAATCCCAAACTCGCCCAACTGTTTCGATCCAACCATGTGAAACATACTTCTTTCCTTAAAAAAAAACAACCTTCAATAGCCTAAGGACGAATCACCAAGGAACCCCCACTCTCATCATCCTGTCAACTTCCTAGCCACCCTGGGCAGCCCACCCACGGCGGATCCCGAACCACAAATGTATGGTTAGGCGGTCAGAGGTTGGGGTGTTATGTTAATCCTACGGTGCTGTTGTTCTCCTCTCCATTAAAATTTCCACCAAGAGGAAGAGGATGAGTAAATCGATTTTACAACAGTCATGTCATGTCTATCGTAGTTCTTGTAAAATAATAATTTGTTTTCAATTGATGTGGCCGTTTTAATTTGCTGTAAAGATGTATCAAATCCGCCTTGCTGGTACACAGCGGCGTAGCCAGGTGGGGTTGGGGAGGGGTGGGGTAGCCTGGGCTTACACGCCCTAAAAGAAAATAATGTCCCGCAGTCGCCCCCCCCCGGAAATAATTAACTTCCATAAATGACCATGCGATTATAAGGTGTAACAGAATTCGCCCCCCCCCCTTCCCTCCCACTGGAGTAACATCTGGTAACTCCACCAATCCGCCATGGTGGGAACTCTGGCTTCACTGCTGATGGTAGACCGGTTCCGGTTTCCTATATTATCGAGTCTAAAAACGGAGGTGGAGACCCATGCAGTCTACATCACAAGAAATGAATAAATGTCAGGCCACCAATAAATTAGATAAATAAAAACTAAAAATTGCCAAAGTACCGGGTAATGAACCCTAATTCACTAACAAAAGACTAAACGTGGGCCGATTGTTTTGGTCGGCGTCTCACTCAAGAGTGAATAACCTTTGTAGCTCTAGAAACAAAAAAATATATTCGTCGGGGTAAAACTCTAGGAAAAAAGATGGTCCTAAAGTACACTAAATATATATACCAGGCTAACGTGTTTTGGGTTGATTATTTAAGTTTCTTTACTTCTTGTTCCCTAAGGTGAGAAGGGGCCGTTTTGCTGTCTTCAATCGTGACGACAAACCCCGCCTATTCTTCTCCTTTGTAGTCGTTGCAATGGGCTTTTTATTTGATTAACACGTCTCAACAAAGCAACCCGATTATCAATATAAACCTTGAGCTGTTTATTCGTTACCAATGAAGAAAAAAAATGGGAATAGACATGGTTTATTAGCTGTATAACAACTCGCAATTTAAAGTTTTAAAAAATGATGGGATGGCCTTAATTTTTGACAATTCATCACAGTACTTTCTCTACACGTTACCGTCCTTAATACAGAGAAGGAACTAGGTTGAAAATTACAACACAAATCGCTAATATATTCGAAAGTGATGTAGCCCCATCGATCGATGTACCAAGGCTACGGTTCTATTAAAACAAACCATTTCAAGACACACAATTTTACATTAGTGGCTATTATAGGTTCAGCATCGTTCATCTTTAAAATTGTTACTACCTTCAGAAGACACACGTTGATTTGTTTTAATCAATTCTTTTTAAATACTGATAAGGTCAAATTATCAAAGAGGTCTTCATAAAAATTACAGCAATAAATGCTTTAAATGCAGTACAAATTTGAGCTATTTATAAAGCTGTTCTTGTGTGAACATTGCAAAAATTGAAAACATAAAGGAATGTTGGGTTCCCATACTACTTCGTATTGTACTCTTTTTCAACTTTCCAAACATCTGTAAAAAAAAAAAAATTAAAAGTACAATACATTCAAAAAAAATTCTTTAATAATTGCATATACTGATTGTAAAAAAATGGGTGCACAAACATATTAAAGGCAGAGTCGGAAATAGCCAAATATCTCTACAAAGTGACATCAAATCATGAACCACTCCAAAAAATACATAAATAAATTAGCAACAAAACAGTTCAATAAAAAATAAAAGTTTATACATACAGTTTTTCAGAAACAACGCATTTTATATTACAGAATTCGATACAGACCGTGGTTCATAATACGAAGAAGGAACGTTACGTCACGTATTTATATTATATTACATTCGTTTCTGTGGTGCAATTAAAATTCATACTTTTTTCAGTAAGAAACAAGATCTTTCCGAGGATTAATAAATGATATCGGAGAGAGTCTTCATCCACCTAAGAATAACCCAACCGTTGCAGAAACTATCTACGTTTTACAATCGTTAATACTTGTTATCCATGTTCACACACCAACGTGAACAAATAAAATATTAAAAAAACTCTATTACAAATATTTCATTCCACAGTGGATACCAATAAAGTGGTTGTCAACTGTTTTCAAGCATACTTGTTTAATAGATCTCAAAAGTCTTCTACTAAAAGCTAAATTATAAGCACTCAACAAATGTAAATCTATTGCCTATACATAACTGCGCAGTGTAAATGAAAACAAATACATTATTTTGTTAATACATGCAATTGTTAATTCTCGATTGGATTATTTGAACAGTTTATTTCTTATTGTTGGTTCATACGATTACCGGCTTAAGAAATTTCAACATTTTTAGAATGCTGCTGCCCGACTGCTTATCTCGAGAAGGACAGATCGTCATGCAAACATGCACCCATACTTCAAGAACTACATTGGCTCTCGGTCACGGTGCGTGTTGAATTCAAGATCTTTTGTTAGTTTTCCAACTTATCCGTCGTGGTGAGTCAGCGCCACAGTACCTCACAGGGTTTATATCATTTCATGAGTTTAACACTCGCATTAAAAGTTGCGGCATGGGGTTGAGCTTAAACATCTTAAAGTTTGTCCAAAGCCTAGCAAGTAATAAGATGGTGATCGTGCTTTTATTTACCATCTAGGCACATTCTTTGTGCAACAGACTTATTCTAGAAATAATAATGAATGTGAAATTTTTAAATCACAGCTTAAAACATATATTTAGAAAATGAAATATTTCAAAACGGACTTTTAAATAGACGTTTATTATGTACTTTGGTGTCCGGTAAAGCGTTTTAGAGATTTTAATGTAAAATGTTATTAATTACTTATTGAGTGGTCGGGCACAACCCGACCATTGTTTAGAATTGTTCTGATAAAGCTTTCTGTCTTTCTTTCTTTTTCGGACAATACTTCTCCGCGGATTTTCTCTTAAACGGCCAATGGTACGAACTTTCAACTATTATCGACTCTCATCCCGAGTGGTACATATTACTCTAACGTCATGATGACGTCATCGTGTGTCAAATCACAAGCGAGTTTTCGTTCAAAAAATGACCATAGTCTTTCACTTATAACTCTCAAACAAAATAATCAATCCTGCTCGTACGTTGTAATCAGATAGACCATTAATAGATGAAAGTGTTTTGTCCTGTACGTGAACTCGCTTGACCGTTACTTCCAGGTTATCCGGAAGGTGAAAGTTAGGTGAATTTAAAATACAGACAGAAGCCTCAAATTCAAAACGAACCAAATTTCTAATGATTATGATAAAACTTGGTATGACCTTGAACATCCGTCCAAAATGTAGGAAAAATCTGACGTCATCATGACGTCATCAGGTGTCAAATTACAAGCAAATCAATCTCCAAATTTGAGAAAATAGTTTCAGCTGTATCGTTAGAACTTAATGAAGTATCCTGCTCGTTTTTCGTGAGGTTGTAAATGATGCCTTGGACAACAATTTCTTTTCCCGGGCACAAAACCGTTTGACTGTCACTTCCGTTGTAACCGGAAGTGCAATAAAAATTGAAGATAACTCGAAAGCTGAAGCTTTTTTTGTATAAGCAAATAAATTATGAAAGTGTTAAGAAAGAATTAAAGGACACAAAAACAACATAATGACGTCTTTATCTGATAGGGCGCCCTCTAGCGGTACATCAA